ATTTTTAAAACTTGCCAGTCAACTTTCTGAGACTGAGAAAAATCTGTGCTAGACACTGTAAATGTGGAAGAGCTGCACAGAGCAGAGAACCAGATGATTATAAATTTGAGTAATCTCCTTGCTTAGTTGCACTCCAGAAATGAAAAACTAGTCTGAATTTCTCAGTCTAAGCTCAAAAACTATAAAGCACGTTTGTTTACCATCTGTACCATCCTTTCAGTCCCCTGAGGCAAATGAAAAGAGAGGCTATAACAATGGAGTGCTGGCTTGCTGAAAGCAGCATCAACAGAGCTCTAAAGACAAAGCAGCAACTTTCTAAACAACAGATGAAGTGGAGAAGCAGCTTGTTTTTCTCCCATAGGTTTGAACAATTGGCACACGTTTATATGGTTGAAAATGGATAGAAACATTTATTGTGAGGACATTCTCATGGCTGCTTTGCAGCAGCCAAAAAGTTGTTTTCTGCATGTCTTGAGGAGTCTTTTAATCCTTACTGACCTTTTATTGCCTAGGTCAGAAACAGTGAGATGAAATCCTGGCATCTTGACACTCATTGCTTTTTGGTGTATACTAAAACTGAATTCTAATCCACATCAGCAATCCTTGAGTCAGCAGAAAACACTTTTAAGTAGATTTATTAGAAGCTTGAAGAGCAAGTTCCCCATTTTGCAGTGTTTTCTTTTGTATTCACTGTCTATGTTCATCAGTCACCCATTGAAACTGAATACTCGAGAACGCAAATTTATTTTCCGTGTGACACTTGAATTCCTAAAGCTGAGCCAGCATGCAGGCACAACCTGCTATCAAGGACAGTTTTTAAACTGATGTTAAGTGTGCATAGTTCCTTTTTCATTGTGTTCTTCTATATATTAAGATCCAAAATACTGTTCTGAGGAAACTTGTAAAAATCTTCAAGCACAGTTATTGTAACACCTTGTGACTATCTGAAAACCCTGATTGTAATACCTGTGTTTTCTTGTCAAAGAAATGTTTTTCTTGTGGATGAAACCACTATCTTCATAGACAGAAGTGTGTGTATGAAGATGGCTACTCTAAGATTCTCGACCAAGTTTGATCTTTGAATATGTTCAAGAGGAAATCTCATGCTGTGGCTTTGCTTCCCTATCAGCACGAGGATATAGTTGATGTAGAGGCTGCTGAAGAATGTGAGCTGTCAGGAGCAGCTGACAGGGTCCTAGTCTGCATGTCTAGCTCAACATTACTCTGGCTGTAAGACAAACACAGGACAGGTGCCCCTTTACACAAATACACTCAATGTAAATAAACTTCTCTGCTGCTCTCTAGTGTGCACTGTTTCTTGGTGGCACTTGAAGGTTTTATTACTTAAAAGACAAACGCAGTTGTTCAGGGCAAATTCAGTTTGTTATTTGGCTGTACTGTCATATGAGAGATGGAATTCTTGTTAATGTAGTACATGGTTACAATGGCCTGCATTCAGTTTCCAGTACTATCTTACCAGCCCTAAGTTATGTCCCTTTTTGCCTCAGATACTATGAGAACTGTTCAAGTATGTAATCTTCCCAATTTAGAGATCACAGAATTGATAACTTGCAAGAAAGATCATGGAATGCTTGTTCATGCCGTTAGTTCTGTATCTACTAAATAGATTTCCTTAGTTTTAAAAGCAATCCTTGGATATGTAACTCTTCATTGTCTAATTTTCTTTGTATCTGAATAATTATGAAGTGAAAGTTTTTTCTATGATTATTCCAATTGTGAATTCAGTTTAATTGTAATGTCAGTTATCTAGAGAGTAATTAACAGCTTAGTGAGGAGACAGACTGAGTCAGGAAAATAATTAGATTTCAGTACCTACTTGTTCTTGTATTTTTGGCTCTGCTGTGTTCTATGTGCACTTTCTTGTGGAGTTTTTACCTATTTTTGATGGATATGTTTATATCCCTAGAAAGAGGGGGGAGGCAAAATAACGCAGCTGAAACTATTTCAGTATGCATGTATGATTTTCTTGTTGAGATGGAAAAAGAATTCTAGTAGAGCCAGGTTGGTCATTGCTCCTCCCATTGCAGGAAGGTGAAGGGTAACTAAGATCTAGCGTATTAATTTTAATTGCAAAAAAAAATGTATTGTTAATGGTGGTGACTGTAATAAATAGGAGGTGTTACTTTCAGGGCCACCTACATATTTAATATCCTAAGTGTAGAATATAGAAAGAAGAAAATTGTGCAGTTATGAGTATACATATACTCAGCAGCCCTGTGCTCAACTCTATGTTCCTTCTTCCAATCACAATGTCTTTCCTAAGCTACTGCACGATAGCTGTGTTTCATGCTTCAGATATCTCTGTAGAAGGCTTTGGTACTGGAGACAGATACATGTTCCAACAGGATTATGTCTTGTACAAAACATAATTCTTCCAACTTCACTAAGTTTAGGTTAAAAATATGGTCAAACTCACCATCGTGTTTACTTTTTGGCATCTGAAGTACCATTATCACCCAGGGGGTGGTGTTCATGAATGCAGTGGCACAATGTGTACCTTGTTGGGTTGGGGTTTTGATTGCTGGAAAATTCTTGAAAATGATTTTTCTGTATTTATCCAGCTCGAACTGCTATGCTCTTTTAAGGAAACATGTTAGATAATCGGTGTCTCCTGCAGTTTCCAGTGAATAATCAAGGTTTCAAGTTAGATTAAAGAGAACTGCCATCTACCCATAACAGCAGGTGCAAAATTGTCACTAATTAAGAATTTGCTAGGTTCAGTAGTGACTGTGCATGAATTATGTCACATTCATTAAAAGATATATTCCAAGCCCAATCGATGACAAGAGGGGAAAAAAATATCATTAGTGTTTCTCCAAAATGAATTAGTGCTACTGAGATTTGCAAGTGAAGACAGCTACAGGCAGATGAAGTATTGCTCTGCTTTTGTGCTCGCCAAATGCTTCTGCTAGAAAAAACAGTTGTTTCACTGGTAGCTTGGAAAACATTAAAAAATTCCAGCACAAAAATTCTGTCCTTCATTTGAGAGAAAGAGGATTTGCATTTTTTTGTCTGAAATATGTAACAAGCTTCTATGCAATATTCTGACTAAAAGTGGAAAACTCTTGGACTGTTTTCAATGTTCTTCCATTTTTTTCTTGTTGTTTAACAAAAAGAGAGGAGTGTATGATTTTGTATGCATGTTTCTCAGTGTTTTTAATTGACTTTGATTCATCAGGATTGGGATATAATAATTAAGGCTAAGATAGGAGGCAGCCCATTATGTATGATCTCTAGATTACTGGGATTTTAAAAACTGACACCTTGAGCTCCCAATGTACTGAACCTGATGATCTCAGAGGAACTCCAGCAAAAGATTCCATTCATTCTGGAGTGAGTAATGCAGCAACTGCTGAAGAATTTGGACTTTGCTCCTGTTCTGTCCTCCTGAGTCTCCAAGTTGTTCATTTAACAGAAATGTGCCCTAAGCATTGTTTAGAGGTAGGCAGTGAAGCAGTGTCTGAAGAACCTGGTCATTGCCCATTCCTTCTGCTCCCTTCTGCCTTCCTTAGCTCCTTCCCCTGTGAGGGCAGCAGCTTCAGCAAGTCTCTGTGATCTCAAACCTGGACAAATGCCTATTCAGAGGAATTCCCTCTGGGCAGAGCTTTCTGATATGCAGGAGCAATCACTGTGGTTGGGGCTCCTGTTCTGGTGCATGTCACTGCTGTTGTGACAGCTGAAGTGGCAGCTCTTAGTCTGAAGCCCTCACTCGTATGCTAACACTTTTAAGCAGATGCTTAATCTTAAAGCTCATGAAGGGCCTCATGGTCTCCTGTATGACTACTCATCCTTAATGTTAAACACATGTAAAATATTTTCCTTGCTTAGGGATGGGGGAATGTGGCGATCAGCACTTGAGAGAGTTGAATGCTGAAAGCAGAGGAAATAGAATAAGCACTAATAGTGCTCATAATACTTTCCATTTGGAGTTTACATTTAGAATGAAGAACAAATCTCACTGTTTTTATTAGTGATTACTTCTTCATTGATCTGTAATTTGAAAGTAAAAGGGTATATTGAGGAAGCAGCAGGCTACCTACTGGAAAGGGGATGGGAAGAGAAGGAGCTGGTTGTGTCTCCTTGTGGACAGTGAGCCATGTGTCTGCCCTCAAGGTTCAAGAAGGCCAACAGTATCCTGAAGCACATGAAAAAACAAAAACAAAAGCAAAAAACATGGCCAGCAGGTAGAGGAAGGCGATTCTGTTCTTCTGGTGGGGCCATCTTTGGAGCATTGGGTCCACTGCTGGGCTCCTCAGTTCAAGAAATGCAGGAAACTGCTGGAGTGAGTCCAGAGGAGGGCTGCAGAGATGGTTAGGGGCCTGGAGTGTCTCCCTTAAGAAGAAAGGCTTAAAGGATCTGGGGCTGTTCAGCCTGGAGAAAAAAAGGCAAAGGGGAGATCTGATCAATGCTTATTAATATCTAATGGACAGGAGTCAAATGGATGGGGCTGGGTTGTTTTTTTTTCTTTGTGGTGCCCGGTGCCAGGACAAGGGACAATGAGCACAAACTGGAAATAAGAACCAACTTTTACTTTGAGGATGACAGAGTACTGAGTCAGGCTGTCCAGAGAGGTTGTGGAGCCTCCTTCTCTAGAGATATTCAAAATCTATCTGGGAACTCGCAACCTACTGTAGGGATCCTGCTTTAGCAGTGAAGTTGGACTGGATGACCTTCATAGGTCACTTTCAATCTCTATGATTTTGTGTTTCTGTGACTCAGTTTCTGCTGGCAAGAACTGAACCACTGGCCCCATAGGCCTGTTGTTTTGCATATCTACTAATATAGTAGCTTTTTTATTGTTTGTCAGAGTTGCATCCTCCATTTTGGACTACTGAGGTAATTTATTTTTTTTTTTGCATTTGTAGCTATTTGCTAAAGAGTCTTAAAGCTTTCTGAATTTCTAGTTAATTTTTCAAGTGTAAGAGCTCTTTTGTAGATGGTACTAAGCTTGCTAAAATCAGTTTGCTCTCTTTCTACAGGAAAGGTGAAGCAGTATTTTTTCCTGCTGGTCTATCCCTCAAGTTCAGTAAGTGTCCTGAATGAATTTATGTTCTAAATTAATTGCTTGCTTTTGCTTCAGATAAGAGCTAGTAAAATAACTGCATGTAATTATGATATCTTCTTAATAAGCCTTCCATTTGTTTAAATTTAAAAAAGGCAGCTGAAAATATACTGTACATTATCATATGAAAGAACTACAGAAAACGTTTCTCTCTTCAAAACGCAGAGTGGACTTGTGTCAAAATGGTTTCAAGAGAAGTAGAGGTTTGAAGCAAGAAAAAAGCCTTTTTGACCATGGCGCATTCATAGATTATTTTGATTAATACAAACACATTTCATCATTTGTACTTGAAAGCATCATAAATTACGTTGCAACCACAACCAATGCACTTTATTAGTTTTGTATTCACTTTCATTAACTCAGCACCTACAACAGCATGGATTCATTTAGTTTAAATTGCTGGGGTTTTTTGTTTTTAGCTAGTGGCACAGAGAGGACTTCTTACAAGAAGCTTACAGGCACTTACCACAGCCCTAATTCAGTGTTTCTACTTTCTGAGCCCTCCATCTGCCTGTAATTATACTTCATGGATATAAATCAGCCTTCCTTGTGCTTCAAAATTAAATAATGAAAGGTGACAATGCTAACTGGAGAGAATGATAAGAAATGCTGTCAAAACTGCAAGTGTGTACCTCAGTTTCATCCATGAAAAATGGCCTGCTTTAGAAAACAAAAGGCTTGGACAAAAGACCGTGCATTCTGTTCATTTTACATGAAAAATAAATGGCCAGAAATTTGTCTGATATGGAAAATGCAGACAGACGTGAAAAATATGTGGAGAAAACATCCCATGAATTTTAATTGAAATGCAAGAAAGAACAAAGTGCTTGTGAATTTAACAGCATTAAAAACAAGATATTTACTACAGAGCTCTGTAACTAGAATACTGTTAACAGATCTCAGTCTGCAATCTCATTAGTTCTCATACTTGCCAGTTTTCCATGCTTATGCAAAATACTTCAAACTTTTCAAAATTAACGTTTCTAAAAGAAACCTTTTCCACTGTGAATTAGTGCGGCTTCTATAAAAATGGAGCTCTGGTGCCATTCAATATTTCTAGTTTGGTTGTCAGTTGAAGCAAAAAGACTCGCTGCAGAATTTACTTTGTCTTAGTTGTTGTGTAAATGCCTATGCATTTGAGCTCAGCACAGATACCTAGTTGGCATTCTTTTTATTCATATGGTAGCCATTAAGATGATTTATGCATTAATAGCTTTGATTACTTCTAAGCAGAAGTTGCCTGAAAATGCAGATGGGGAAAAACATAGAAATTTCTATGAACTCCAAATCAAATTCGTTGCGTATATGAAGATGTACAGTCTAGGGAAAGTGCAGGGCTGAGCCTTAAGTGAGGGGCTCTCAAATGTAGGCATGCCGCTAGTGGGAAGCCACTAAAAAGCTTAATCCAGACATTTGAGATTCTCCTGCATGTTTCAGCTGGTTGATGGCTACCAAATGGTTCAAAAATGGGGAGTGAGAATAACTTTTTTTAGAAATGTACATGTGCCAACAGATACAAATTGACATTTCTTAATCTTTATGTGAAATAGTTATAAAGGTCAATATTTTTGAAAAAGGCAATTATATACTTCAAAAAACATATTGGGGGAATTTAATTTTTGATGTTTTCTCAGTGGTTATTTATTTTTCAATCCTATAGTGCATTATATCCTTCATGGCTTATGCAATATCATGTGTTAATCTATGGGCTGTGAATCTGATGGCTTCCCTATAGTACCAAGGCACATCTTGTCTTGTGTGTGTTTGACATCAGAGAAGCCATCTATCTTCAAGGCCCTGAAGAACTCTGATTATCTGCGTTGAGATAATGAGGAGCCCACTGGCTTTCTGCTGAGCAGTATTTGGAAGGTGAGATGCTTTTACAAGTGTTGTTATGGAAGTGCAACAAGAGCTATTGTCATTTGGTTTGTCTGAGGTCTGTTGTCATGAGTTTGTATGACAATCTCATAGGCAACCCTTTAATAACTGTCACAACATGAATACACTGCACTACCAGTGAGATTTTCTTTGTCAGTCTTGCATTCATACAAACATGCACAATGACTCCTTGCTTCAATATGTTCCTGGAGCCAACTCCTATATTACTGGGAATTAGTTTAAATTGTATGAAAATGATGCCGCTGTAAGGAATGCTCAGAAAGAGAAGTTAATATGTGTGTTTAAATTAAAACATGTCTTTTGTGTCAGGGAAACACGCAGCTATTAAACACTGAATTCTGCAATCTGGAGAAAAAGGAGGGGATTAAGAAGGCAGTGGAATGCTGTTCTAAAGTGCAGAGTTGCAAGTTTACATTATAGTAGCAGTATCCAATCAGTATTTTTAATTCTTTTAATTACTAAAATCTCTGGAGTACATAATGGTGTGGAATATACACATGTATCTGTAATAAACAACATGTATCTTGAAGAAATGGATTTAGTTTTGGCAACAACGTGATAGGGAGATCAAAGAGCTAGCTGGCATTAAAATGATTTAGATACATTTGTCATAGGCAGCTGTTATGCTAATCTCATTTATGCAGTTGTCAGCTGATAGGTTCTGATGAGCTAGCTTAGTGGGAAAATCATTAGTAGATCCCTATTGTGATAAATGTTATTTATTACTGTCAAATGGTATTAATGTTTGATTCAAAGATGGGAAATGGGCATCATCTACATGAAGTTCATCCATTCATGGTCAACGATGACAAAGGGAGCTGCTGAATTCCAGCCAAAGGAACTTCATTTCTGTAAGAAAAAAGAATAATGGATTTAATTTGCATATGCTTTAAAAGGGTAATGAAGTAATATGATGTTTATCTTGGTTGAAGAGTGGTAATTTTTGCTGGCATAGCTCCAGCAACATTCGAGTCATTGTGCAGCATTTGCTGTTCAGTTGTTGGTTGTGGAAGGGGCTTTTCAAAGCAGCAGGTGCATACGGGGGGAGGAAACAGAAATGATTTATTCATTAAGCCAAAAAATGAGCAATCTCAATGTCTTTCCCCTTACCCTCTGGAAATATATTTGCAACCATCTTCATTTTTCTTCTTGCTACATCACTCTCTCTTCCTGTCTGTGGCCCTGTCTCTTGAATTACACAGAACCACGCTGATTTCCACTCTGTCTTTGTTGTGATTTGACTTTTTTTCCACTTCATCTAAATAGATAAATGCAGAGAGAAGGTAGCATCCCATTCCAGGCTATCAAGCAGATAGAAGTTGGGATGTGTTCACATATGGCTGTAAAATGAAGTGTTATTTATTTATTTTTTTAGGAGGAAAAAACCTCCAATGTTTTGGCAAAGTAGCTGTGCAGCTGGGTTTTAAGTTGTAGAAAAGTGTTCCCTTTGCTTGTGAATTTGTATGGAGACATTCCTCTTTCCCCTCCCTATTCCAGTACAGCTGCAGTACTCTAATCTTGTTTTATTTTTTTAAGTAAAAAAAAAATCCTGCAACCAACCAAAACCTAATTATGGTACAGCCAATCAAACAATGGCTCATTATCAAAAAGACCCAATAACAATTAAAGAATGTCACAGTCAATATTCTGCCACTAGTTTATTATTTATTATTTATACACTTAAAAATGAATGAAATCAGTATGTTTAAAATAATTTTCTAGAGTGAATGAATGGTAAAATGACAATGGTAATTTGAGGAGGAAAAAATGCCCCAAAAAGCACTGTAGTCAACACTAAGAAAATCTTTCAGTGCTGTGTGCTGGTTCTGTCCTAAGCCATGTATGAGTACGCTTTTATATTTTAATGAAAAAAGATGCCTGATAATCAAGATGACCTTGATTCTTTTAAAGGCAGATAAATGCCAAATGCTCATTGGTTTTAGTAAGAACTGAATGCATGCCTGCTTTTTAAATGATTCTTTTATCTAGATGTACTTAAATTCCTATGGAAAATAATCAGAATATTTTCAGTTGCCAGTAGTGGTACTGGAGCATGGATGGATATAGGCACTATCTGCAATTCTCTGAAATAAAACTAGTAATTTATATCTTGCAAATGAAATAGCACCAGTTAATGCTCTGTAAAACATAGACAAAATTCTAAAGGGGATTTTGCGTGTCTTGATTTTAAAGAATTTTGTTCATATTGTGATGATACGTATGCTCTGCAACAGCAAAGTTTCTTGAAAACTGTCCAGATTACTTTTAGTAGGCATCTACAGCTTTAATTCACTAGGTTAAGAACATGCTGCAGTTCCAAAAAAGCTTGCAATGCGCTGCCTCAAGCAGCCCTCCTGTAATTGCCACTGCTTAAAGGCTTTGTGACCACACTGAGTTTAGCATCTTTATATTTAAAACCTTTTTGAGGCTGCTCTCAAGATCGCATCCATCTGAGGCAGAAATCTTGTTCAGCTGGAGCCTCCTGCCAGAGGCATGATCTATGAGATCATGCCACCCACTGGGTCACCGTGCCACCTGGCAGGACCCAGGGAGCTGGTTCTGGGCTTTCTCTGGGTTGGTGCATGAGTGGATGCTTGCATTCTCTCAAAAATCTGTTTCTGCACAGTAGCACAGACAAAATTGCCAACTATTTCAGACTACTTGTCTAAGTGTTGTCAAGACTTTCAGTCCTTGTAAACAAGACTTATCAAAGATACAAGAGTTACTACAATATGAATGTTGACAGTGTGAATTACTGCAACACCATTGTCTCATGACCTGTGGCTGCCATTCTATTTTCAGTACTGTACGAGAATCTGCTCTGTCTTCTCTGTGATTTTTAGACCAAAAAAGTTTCAATAAATATGGATAAGCTTTCTCCAAACAGCTGCATCTTTTGGAGGCTTGCTGCAGCGAGCTCTCCAAGTTTTTTCTGAATTTGGATGCGAGTCCATTTCCTTTGCTATCTCCCCCTGTGTATGCACTCAGCTAAGTGGTTTCCTTGGTTACTTCTGGCAAAAATTACAGTTGACCGTATCTTGCTATTAGAATGCTATTTAATACAATACATGGAACATAAGACCTTGGATCTTATGTTTCCCAATTAGCTCCTGGCACATTACAGGCTTTTTTCTTGCTTAGCAGTGAAAGTACTGGTTTGAGTTAAGATGGATTTTAAAATCTTGCATTGAGAGAGCACATATATCTTTAGCTTACTTTGATAGTCCTCTGAGGTTTTGTAATGTAGATAGATTTGTCTCAATCTGTCTTTATGTTGAGATGTGCTGGGCTTGCTCCATTTGTTGTGATAAGAGTTGCTTTGTAGGTCATAGGAAATAAACGTTGATCTTGTTGAGAGATTTGCTTGTCAAACTGTGTGATATATTCCATGACTACTAACTTCTGGAGAGAGTGGGATTGTTATGACATCTATAATTTACTGTAGGATTCATTCTGAAACCACTGAAATTCATCACTTCCAACTCAGGATATTCTATGATTACTCTCAAACTGGCATATTGAGTCACTAGTTTATCATACTCTGAAAATAGCTAAAATTGCTTTCAGTTTGCTAATAGCTAGTTGACTAGTCAACTCTGACATCAGGATTGTCTTTGGAAATGGTACAACATAGAAAACAAACATGTTTGTGTTCTTTTCTGTTTTCTCACCTCTGAAACGCCATTTGATTTTTCTCTGGAGCCACTTTCAGCTGATGTTGTCAATATTGTCTTTTTTGGAGGGTAAGCTTATTAGTTTTATAGCATCGTGGACTGTATTTGTAAGGCAAATCAATATTCAGTTGATAGATTCTTTAATAGTGTATTCTAGGCATAACATGAATTTCTGTTCCACTTTCAACACCTTTTCTGGTATGTTCTCTAGAGCCAGAAAAAGGTATGTGGGTTACTGAAAGCTTATTAATGCTTAAGAAAAATAAGAGCAGCTAAAGGCAGCTTTCTTTATCTTTTTTTTTAGACATGTGAGAAGTTATGATTCATTTCTAATGTAAGGAAAGTTATAATAAATACTTCGAATTTGACATCAGTGATGTATTGGCATTTAAAATATATGATGATATGTAGAGGCTAGGGGCCAGGGGAAAGGCTTATCCAATTCAGGATCTGTTGCAGGAGAGTTAGAAGGATTGGTTTTTTGTTTTTTGGGGTTTTTTTTTGCTAATTTATGGAAATTATAGGTAAGGAAGATGGAAAGTACTTGAAAAAAGAAATATCTTTGTAAAAACTGAAGGTTTTGAGGGCATGCACTGTATTTTTTGAAACTCCTTTCATCCTTTATTTAGTGTCTCATGATGAATTTCAGGACAGCTTGCATAAAGTCATCAGTTGTTATCTTTATGATCAAAAACTGTTAAATTAGATTTTGACAAACTGATCTGTATCACTCTTTTATTCTAGTCTCTTAGGCTTACTTGCCTGTAAGCAAACGTGTATAAAATTATTTGCAGCAAATAGTGATACTTTCTCACTGCAGAATGCAGTAAGCAGCATTCTTATGCTTACGTGTAGGCAAAACCCACTAAAATGCTGAATCTCCAGTGCTTTACACCTTGTGAAGTCACATCAATACAAAGAATGCAATCACTCTGGCCTCTAAGCAGACATTATTTTAATTACTGGTTTAAGTGCATGTGTGCTTCAGTAACAGCCATGCTGACTACCATGAATGCACAGGGAATACATTTTTTGAAAGAAAGACCTCATCTGTTCCACTGACTAGAACCCTGAAATAATACTGCCATACATAAAAATAATTTCAGTGTAGAAATTAAGCAGTGTTCTATCACATGCTTCTGTTTATTAGGAAAACTGCAATATAAGAGTAAATGGTAGCAAAAAGTTTGTTTCTTCTGAGTACCAAGAAGTTGCTTGTTTTAGAGGATATCATTTTCTAAAGTGAGCAATATTTGGAAAGTTCAGCTTGGCATTGCTTTTTGCATACAGCTATTT